GGGGGGGGGGAGGAGAACGGGGACGTGACCGCACTGGGAGGGAGTGGGTGTGGGAGGAGGGGGATCCGGCCTCCTGGCATTCCCGGTGACGCCGAGGGGGCTTTTCCTCCCTCTCCCGTGGGGATGCTCCCAGATCCGGCAGGCGCGCTTCCCGGAGGGAGGAATTCGGCTTCGCCGGGCCAGGGCTGCTCCGGTGGGAGAAGGTGTGTCCCCCGTGGGATGTGGCGGCAAGGTGACGCTCGTGGCCATGACCTTGGCCGGTCGGAGCTGTTGGACGTGAGGGCTCGGTGCCTCTTTGGCTGTGGAGGGGGGTTTGGACCAGCAGCCACCAGCTTTGGCCCCGTTCTCCTCTGGTTTGGCAGCGGGGTTGGCCCAGCTCCCACTTCCATCCTTTTCCCGGAGGATTCCTGCTCCTCTGGACCTGTTGGATGGGGAGCGCGTGGGGCAGGGTGGGATGTGCGCCCCTCGGTCCTTGGCTTGGTTTTTGCTGTGATGCTTTCCCTGGCTCGTTTGGAAGATGCAGCTTGGCTGGTGAGGGGTGGACCCTGCGTCCTTCCTCGCCGGAGCTGCGGCAGGATGGATGGGTTTGCTCCCGTTCGCCTCCGTCTTGGAGGTGGTGGCTTCAGGCTGGAAGAGGAGATGGACCAGCAGCAGGTCCAGCCCCGTGGCGTGCCCATGGAGGAGTCCTCCTTGCCTCTCCCTGCCGTAGGCATCTCCCCAGCTTTCGGGGAGCCCTGAGCCGACCAGCTGGCCTTTGGAAAAACAACTCCCTTCCCTCCAGCTCGGTGATGGAGAGGCTGGTGGTGGTGGGAGAGAGAGGCTGCCTGAGCCAGGAACAGCGTGATTCAGGAGCTGCTGTCGGGAGGCTGGGAGCTCTGCCTGCATCCCGCTTCCCAGTCGGAAGGATGGGGAAGCAGGGTTGGACTCGATGATCCCGAGGGTCTTTTTCCAACCTCAATGATGCTGTGATTCTGTGGTCGGGGTGGTGCGCCCTGCTCCGTGGGGAGGGCCCTGTAGGGTACGGGTGCAGTGGGGGTCTGGATGTGCTGGGTTGGGGGGTGCAGCACCCTCGGGGGGGGCAGGATGTCTCCCCCTGAGAGCGGTTTTGGCTCTGACTCCCCCCAACCGGGGCTGCTGGAGATAATGGCATGTGGCACCTGGGGATGCTCTACGCCGGTGGCATTTAGAGGGGATGCTGGGGACCCCCCCTCTTCCTCCTGCCCCAGGTGGGAGTGGGGGGACACCAGGGTGACCATGGGGACGTTGTGTCCTTGCACGCTCCATCTCTGCGCTCGCACACGTGCCACCCAGCCGGGGATGGTCCCCACCTGTGTCACCCGGGGAGGGGGGGACCCACGCTGGCTGGCAAGTGTGTGTGTGTGGGGGGCTGCCGTGGGGGTGCCTGTGTGGGGAGGGTGTCGGTGTCCCCCCAGGACGCTCCTTGTCCCCTGGGGACAGGGTTGGAACTGGTGGAGCTCCTCCGCCCGGCCCCGCATGACCTTGAGGCGCGTCACTTGACCTGCGCGTCGCCTTCCATCCATCTGGAAAATCCGGTTTAAAGCGCAGGGAATCGGGGCTGCAAAGCCCAGATGCTGCTGCTTTCCAGCTGGGGGAGGGGGCGAGGGCTGCACTCCTGGTTGTCCTCCCCCCTCCATCTCCTGGGGGGATGGACCTTCCCCCCCCCTCCCTGCAACCAGGGATGCTCTTGGGGGGGCAGGTAGCTCTCCCCCTGAGTCCCTGCAGTGGGTGGTCCTTGTTTTTAACCCCCCCCCACCAAGGCTGTCGTCTCTGCCCTGCTTGTTTCGTGGCACTGGCTGCCTGCTCTCCATCCCTGCCTTCCCTCCATATGCCACGCCGGTGGCCTTGTCCTCGGAGATCCCCGCCGTATCCCGCCTCCGCCGACGCGAGCGGGAATGTGTCAGCGCGGATCTCGTCTCCTCCCGGCAGCGAGGAGAGGAGGAGGAGGTGGTCCACAGGCTTGGGGCCTCACACCCTGCTCCCTTGGCCATCCCTGAATGAGGGATGAGCCCCTGGGGTGATGGCTCAGGACGGGGTTCCCCTCTCTGACCCCTTCCTGGGCTCCTCGCCATCATCCCTTGGCTTTGGCTGGGCGTTTATCCCTGCTGCAATGCTATTTGATTTGGAAACCTGCTCAGCCATGTCCTTCTCAGGAGGCATCTGTAGGATGTGTCTTCCTTCAGCGAGTGCACCCGAGATGCTCATCTCACCCGAGATGCTGGGTACCACCACCTTCACCCTGGGTACCACCACCTCCACCCTGTCACCTTAGGTCCCTGCTCTCCAGATGGGGGAAAAATGGGATGCCCGGAGCCGGGTGAGGGTCTTCCCAAGCCTTGGCATTGCCATCCTGGGGAGCCCCCCGCGGTGGCGTTGGCCTTCCCTCCTCTCCCTTTGGGATGCTGTTCAACTCCACCTCCGCATCTTGCATTCTCGCCTCCTGGCACGCGGCACGCTTTTATTTTTCCTGGATCTGCTTGGATGACGAAGCCTGTTGATGGCTTGTTTTTTTTTTTTATCTTGACGAGGCATCCCCCAACTTTTCGCCCCAGCTCCCGCACCGAGGGAGGGGTTTTGGGGTTCACGTCCCCGCTGCAGGTTGATGACCCCCTATTTCCAACCCACAGGCTGAGCCTTGAACTCCCCCCCCCTCCCCCTTCCTACCCTCCCCGAGCTTGGCTGGGAAAAATCAAGTGGGTTTAAAAATACCTCGTCTGTTTGCGCTCTGTTTCTTCTGCCGTCTGCGGGTTGTTTTCAGGCGTTTCCCCACAAACTGTGGGGGTGAGAAACGCTTCCCTGAGGCGGGGGCTGCCATCTCCATCAGGATGGGGACCACCCCCCCACTCCCCCCGCTGAAACCACCGGGATTTTGGGAGGAAAACCTGCAAGGGGTTGGAACCCACAGGGTCTGGGAAGTCATGGAGAGCCAAGGTGGGGTGGGGGGGGTGTGAAATGTCTCCCCGTGTTTTTTCCAGCTGCCTGTGGAAGTGCAGGGACAGGAGGGCATGGTGGCAGGGCGGGTGGCAGCTGGGGCGAGCCGGGGGCCGGCTAGCGGCCGTGGTTGCCAGCCGGCCCTGCGCGTGGGGAAGGGTGATGCTCAGCCGTGCGTGCAATTCCCCACCGGCCCTGGCCATCACCAGACACCGGGGCTGAGAGCTGACCTATTTTCCTCTGCCCGGGCAACCCCGGCTGGGCACGGGTCCTGCAGAGATGCTGGCTCGTCCCCTCCTTGGGGACATCACTGCTCTGGGGCTGGTCGTGCAGAGATGGTGGCTCATCCCCTCCTTGGGGACATCACTGCTCTGGGGTATGGGTCCTGCAGAGATGGTGGCTCGTCCCCTCCTTGGGGACATCACTGCTCTGGGGCTGGTCCTGCAGAGATGGTGGCTCGTCCCCTCCTTGGGGACATCACTGCTCTAGGGCTGCCCATTGCCCCATCCCAGTGGTGTCTGGGTGTGGGGCAATGGGTGACCTTCTCCATCTGGGCAAGTATCAGCATCTCAGGCTCTGCCTGGCCTTGAGGAGCCGAAAAACCAAGATCCTACCTTGGTAGCTTGGGGATGGGGGGGAATGGGGGTTGCCCCCTCCATCCCCGTGCTGCTGGTGGAAAGCCTGTCCCTCTGAAGGTGCTGGGGACCCGCTCGCTGGAGCGAGGCGGCCGGGGAAGCGTGCGTCCTTGGATGCTCTTGAGCAGCACGTGATGGCTGCTGTCCCCGATGGGTGGGCAGGGAGAGAAAGGGGG